GTGAAAGATAGGTCAGGGATTGAACATGCACACACTTTCTTATTGCACAACAGCCCCAGAGGCTTCGTGGCTCTAAGCACAACTGGAGCTCAGTTTGACCTGCTTAAAACTCACCCCCAAATGACATTTTTTCTTATTGGGTTCAAGATGGAAGCAGGACACATGCATTTAATATATAAAATCAAGCAGAAGGGTGGCACTTTCTCAGAGGCCATAAGTTTTGTGTTGCTCTCCCTGTATAATTCAGTGTGTTGTCTTGCTCTTGTTTGTGCCTGAGCAGCGTCTTTGATGGGATTGGATCTGTGTGCAAAGGATGCACTACCTGAGTGAGACTACTGAGGCAAAAACATCCCCAACAACCAGTTTAAAATGCTAGAGAAATCAGCTCAGTTTTATTATTTACTAGAAAGACTGTAAATGCAATTTGGTTTCAATATAAAGAAGTTAATATAATTTTATATTTTAATTTTCTTGTATTTTCCCAGACTTACATGTCCATTAACATTTCCATGAGCACAACTGAGGACACAGAAGGGAAAACTCTTGGTTTTACTGTGTTAATTTATTTGCTTTAGTCTGAAGGTGCAAAGATTGCAAAACCTTGCACAGAGGTGAAATCTTACTCTTTATCTTGTGGAGATTTATAGCTGCAGTAAAAGCAGGCAATGGTCTTCAAGCAGCAGTGCTGCAGGTGAGGCTGCAAAAACACACAGTGTGCAGGAAGAACAGTAGCTTTAACGAAATTCATCACAACCATTAGGTTTAACAAGTCCCTGCACCCTTGAAACCTGGATGAAGGTTAGTGTGGGACACGCGAAGAGCCCCTGCCTCGTCACCGGGTCGCTGCTGCACCCCCTGGTTCGGGTGAACAGCCGCAGCGCGCACAGCACCTTGTAGCAGAGACCTGGACTGCTCGGCTGGGGCAGAAGTCACGGGGCAGCAGCCTTGACAAGGGGACACCAGTTGCAATGCTCTGACCTTTGTGTGACTTACAGGCTCAACGCGACCCAAAGCTTTCTAGCGCACAGATTATCCTGTGAAGCTGCCAGGGTAAATCACTCTTCGGCGACATCCTGCAATGAGCAGCCATTCCTTACCCCGAAACTAAGGTAACAACCTTCAGAATATGGAAACAACCTTCAGAATATGCCTTCAGGTAACAACCTTCAGAATATGCCCATCTGAAGGGAAGAATACACTACCCTTTTTATTTTAGAAACACAAAGCTGAGGAAACGCTCTGAGAAATTAATCTTTTCTTTTCTCTTTTGTGGGGAAAGGGAAGGAAGTTTGATACTGATATTGCTCACTTTTCCTTAGAAGATAAATGTTGGAACACACATAAGATCCCAAGTCCATGTGATTCACCCAACATGAAAATGTATCATTTTTATTAATATTTTAGTTATATGAATACTTAGACATGATAAAATAGGCCCATTTCCAAACTTCCAATAGCTACAGCTTTCAATATCTGCATTAATAACCTAAACTGGTGAGTATGAAGTGAAAACATCCATCCCTTAGATCCTTCCAAGCATTCTTTATCCATTCTTTTGAGCTTCTCAGATGCTGCAATTATGGAAAAAATTAAATTAATTTTCAATAAATTACAATTGTCTTGCTATATGCAATGTAATATTTACTTGACTGAAGCACAAAAAGAACAACTAAGTTGTTCATGAACAAGATCTTCAAATCTCATTGGCCAGTACTATGAAACACAAGACAACACAATGGTTATAGAACTGGCAAATTACAGCATGCTTGCATATATCTAATGATCTAGAGATCAAATGATCTAATGATCTCAATGGATTTAGATACAATCTAAATTTTCTGATTTTTGTCTCTAACATAGACTGGTAATAAACTTGCCCTTCTACTCAGGAGAGTTTTAGCAGGTGAAAAAAAAATATTGCCAGAGGCACAATGAGTGATGTCTCCTTAAGAGACCTCTCTGCTCCAGAAAAATAGAGGTCAACATTTCTGATTTCAGGAAACTCCCCCATGAACTTTAAATTCTAAAAATTCTATTCCAAAAAATGTTATAAGCATTCAGATAAACATCAGTAAGGGAATTATAGCAAACAAAATATGTGACTTGAGAAAAGTCCTACTGACTCCTTTCCCATGAGCCGCTCTGGAAGGTCTCACAACAAAAATCAGAGTATCTTTCAACAAAATATTGTGCTGGAGCAAAATACTCTTTGGCAGTGCGCTATTGCTAAGTGCTTTTCTTCCCTTACTGTGAGCTATGATAAACAAATGTATCTGAGATCTTTAGGTACCTATCATAAAAGATGTTTTCAAATTATTATTAAGATCAGTTGCACTATGAGTACAAGAGGAAAAATGAACACGACATCTAGGCTTAAAAGCCGTGACTTTAAGGCTCAGATAAGCGAAAGGACGTATTTCCAGGCAGGTATCACCCCCCTGCTCAGGTCCATCTACAGACTCTGCAGAGTAACTCTGCACAGACAGGATTTTACCCGTACAGTAGAATTAGAGAAGAGACAGCGGGAGACACACGGTGGTGAGATCCTTGCCTTGCTCTGCGCAGCCTGAGGTTTCAGTCCCCTACAGACCATTTTGTGCCATGATCTGGGGGCCCACGAAAGGATGTTCAACGTTTGTAATCACTTTTTACTTTCCAAAGGACTGGCAATAGTGAGAAAAACCTGGAGATTTGCAGCTGGGTGCTGTTATTAGCTTAGAAAGGAGGAGGAAACAGCCTCAAACACTTGCACGACATTTGCTCTAGCAGGTGATGACATAAAGATGACATAAAGATGACATATCCCAATTTTAATTGGGATGGGCTACAGAGACCCTTTAGACGTCACAGCATGAGCTGAAAGGAGCAGTAACCTACGGCTGCAGGTGACCATCTTTGCACTAGGTGTATTTGCTTGTGTTTGTAAGTAACATCCTGCAATTTGAGGTTAAGCAGGAATTAAAAGCATATTTTCTTCCAATTATGAAAACCCTGTCCAGAGGGACACAAGACAGGGACTGAAGTGATCTGAAGGCTACATTGTCTTTAATTAGGTGGCTTTCAAGCACTTTTATCAGCTTTGAAGGAGGTCAAAACTAAATAAACAAATAATTGTTTGATGAATGATTATATGAAATATAAATAAAAGAACAGTCATTGGGTTTCTTTCAGTGGCTCTATGTCAAGTTCAATTAGAGGCACTTCATTTTAAGTGCATGTGAGATGCTGATGTAGAGATGTGTTCTTATCCTGCAAAAAGAAGAAAAGGTTCCTGTGTCCTCGGGAGCCGCTCGCGTGCGGAGCAGAGCTCCGGCCTCCCTCGGGCAACGGGGAGCACAAGACCCAAAGCTGATGCCCAAATCCCAACTTTCAGACACAGTCAGATGGCTCTTATTTGCACTGCCAGAACTAAACTTTATTTCCATGTGTTTTACATACTGGTATTCGATGCCAAGTACATGAAATTACTTTAACAGAGGATTTAAGTGAGGAATATTTATTCTTCACTGAACAGGTTGGAGAGGAATGTAAAAACTCATCGGAAAAACTGTTTAAACTTTGTTTTGATTTTTTTGGCAAACCGAAGAGCAAGTACTCTTCTATTCTCTCTAATCTCTCCAGGTACCATAAAAAGCATCTTTTCATAATCATGCATCTCAGGAAAAAAAATAGTTTTACAAAATCCATTTCTTATGCTAAATACTAGTTACAAATAAGAGTATTAACACAAAACTCCCAATTCCTATTTTTAAATACAAATACTCTGTTATATTATGAAATGGGGATAATTAAAACATCAATGGCTACAAATCTAGCAGTTTAAAGCAAACTGAGACATGCTGTTTGCTTTCACGTGGAAGAATTAGGATATTATATGGTTCAAGCACTGCAATAAGTTCTATCAATTTGTTGATGCCTAGAATGTCAAACTGCCAAACAGAAAGACATGTATTCAGATCTGAATAGCACCAGGTGTTTTTTCTTTTTAAAAAAAGACACTAACATTTATTAAAATGAGTGACGTGACTACTTTCTGAAGGTGACATGCACGAGTAGAGAATTTCCTCTAAGCCTCCAACTAATAAGCTAAATTCTAGACAATACTGAACAATTATTCATGTATTGCATGGTACACAAGAAAACAGTGCTTCCACAGCATATCCCTAGTTCTCAAGTACAAAAATATCAATTATGGGTAGTCAATAGTTATCAAAATTTTTATTGGTACAGAATGAAAGCAGCATTTACTTTTATTTTTTTTTAAACCATACATCATAAAATTCCCTAGTACACATGTGGAGGAGTGAAATAGGCTCTGTACTATTTACCAGCTACTGATCCTATGTCTGGATTTATTTGGCCTTTCCTAACCAAGTACAAACAGTATAATTTACAGCAAAGGGAAGGCAGTTCTTCAGTGTGAAAGGTCAGTATTTAGTTTACTAAAGCACTATTTTTGAAACAATACATCACTTAAATCTATAATCACATACACTAAGAGTGGAAAACAAATTTTTATTAACAAGAACTATTGAGACTGGGCATAAGTGTCTTAACCACAAACCCTGGAAATACTATGAGTGCTTCGATGTGGCCCTTTTTGGTGACAGAATAAGAACAATGAAGTATGGCTTTTCAATCTTCCTTTAAAAGCACGTTTTATACAGTTTTGTAGACTTAAATGATTCTAAAAGACCCCTCACATTTTTTCCTGTAAAATCATTTGCTAATTGGCATTTGTTAATTGCAACATCAGTACAGTAAGTCAAAGACTGACGGTTGATCATCAACATAATACAGAAGCCATTTGATTTTACTGTTGATTTTTGTTAAGGGAGGTATTCCTTTTGTAGTAAGAGCCATCCTACAGTACTATCAAGCTTCTCAGAGCCTATTACTACAGAGCTTCTCACATAAAATCCTTGACAGTTTTGTTTTCCAGCAGATATTCTAATCGAGCAATTCTAGAAATTGCTCCAGTTGAGAAATTCTAATTTGCAGAGAGCAAATACAATCAAGTGCAGACAGTTCAAAAGCCTCTCTCATACATATTCTTTTACAGTTATCCTCTGCAACAAAAAAGCCCCTCCTCACCCCCAGTAAATGGGGGGAGAAGGGGAAACAGGTCTGCCATTCATGTAGGAGTTTGGCTAGCATAAAGTTTTATTAAAGTTGTTAACAAAAATAGTTAAACATTTTTACAATTTAACATCCAGTCTGACAAAAGGCAAATCAATGAAAAAAATACAAAAAAGTAAAAAAGTGCACTACCCAGTCCAGTATTTTGCTTTAAAGTCATGTCACTTACAGTATATGAAAAATAAACCCAGAAGTGTAATTACTTTAAAATACACCGCTTCCATATTTCAGTATTTTACACATATATTCTATAGTGGAAGAGGAGATCTCTTAAAAACTTTACTCTTAAAATATTGAGGTGCATATGCCAAGTAGAACAGACTTGGCAAGTTAAGTTGCAGTAGAGAATCCTTTCAAATTTGGCATTCCATTTACATCCCTAACTGTGCCAGTAAGGTCTGTAGTACCTAAATCTTCTAGTAAGAACAGCAACTTTCTTTAATGTAGATTTACTAATACAGACAACTACAAGATACGGTGAGGTCAGCAAGTCTATGGGATCCTAAAGGAGATACGAGTCCTGATTTCTTTCTTCAAATGGTACAATGTCACAACAAACTTTAAGGCCATGTTTTATTTGCTGATTGATGGACAAAAGGCAATGGATTCCCCCCCACACCAAATATTTTCTTGAAAGTCTGTGCTCATAAAAATCATGAAAAGTTGGAAAGACTTAATTATTGAAACTTTAAATATATTTTACACAATCTTGTTTGTACAAAAATACAAGTTAAATATAAACATAAAGCAATCATGATAATTTTATGTAAATCCATTTTGTGATATTCTGTTATATATAAAAAAGTTTCTCAGCTCTGTCTTATTTGTGAAAAGATCAATACCAGATTGAATCACTACTGGCAAATGGCCCTAAAAAGCACACTTTAGCATTAAATATGTTTTACACTGTAAGTACCATTTCCTGATTTCATCTTCTCTAAAGACTGGCAAAAGATAGGGCAGTATGTCCATAAACCAACAAATAATTTGGCTACAATGTCATAAAACACAAACACACAAATCTGTACAATAAACCCATTATGCAGTACATACTTGTTACACACACATACACAGACATGGAATGAAACTTAGTGAGACGCCGTTTCGAGTTCACTGTTCTTCAGCCTGGCATTTTGTCTTACTTCATCAAATGAATACGACTTCGTTACCTTCCCATTCTTAAACACTGTATGAAGGAGATCCTGCAAGAAATACCACTCTTTTAGCAAGGAGATTAGCAAAATGAACAAACAACAGGTTACACAGGTTGCACAAACTTAAAAGCAAACACCCAAATCAAATGTGTCAAGAATAGAGCCTCAGGCTGTTAAGGTACTTGACCTTTTCAGTTTCAGCCTGTACCTTTAGCTAACAGTTAGACAGAAAAGAATTTAAACCGTCCTGTACATAGATACAAATTTTATACCAAATAGTCCCCAAAGTAAAATGCCCAAAGTGAAAGGCAAGGACATATAAACTAAATATACCCTGCTAGAGCAGTTGGTAATAAAGGATGTTCACTTCAGCCAATTTTAAATGCAGTTAAATTACAGAGCCTCAGATAAAATATTTATTTCCTCCACAGCAACTATAAAAAAAGCTTTCTTTGCAACCTCCTTTGCATATGTATGTTCTGTAAAACAGAGCCCTAAAGAGGGCTCACAAACAGCACACTGAAAGAGCAAAGGCCAGCACTGGACAGAGAAGTTGAAACCAGTACCAGACACCAAGCTGTGCTTGGTTAGTGACTGCAAGGATCTGTGGTTCAGGAAAAGAGGTTCACAGAAGTGCCCCTTCCATCTGCCCTTCTGCTGTTCTCAGGGGGACCAAAACCACATATATGACCCTAATATCCCAGTATAGAAAATTTCCTTCATGTTTTGACAGATGAAGAAAACTTAAAAGAAAAGCTTTGCAAAATTAATTTTTTTTTCATGATCTTGATTTCTTTCGAGAGATTTTCCACCATTTACTGCCCATATATAAAATTTACAGGTGTGTATCATAAACACATATATATGCTTATGAATGGATGCACATATATATGCTAGATATATATGTTACTTTGAAAATATTCAAATTCTAGAACTGCACTTCTGTCTTTACAGCCTTGAAGTTTTTCTTGAGTTTTCTGGTACACAAAGGCATGTTTAGGATAACAAGAAGATGTGTATGGAAGAAGGGGAGCTCTAAAAATGCGATAGTGTAAAATTGGAAGCTCTCTGAAATATTAAAGACAGAAAGCAAACTGAGTTATATAGTGAGTTATATATATAGAAAATATGTGCTCTGAATACCAAGACTTAATAACAACCACCACCAAAGGCTTCAAATGCTCTTAATACAGAAAGACACTCAACACACTAAAACAAAATTCTAAAATTGTTACAACCGGCTTCTTCTCAGGCTAGTTTTGCATGGAAAGTGATTTGATAAGTCTTGAAAATTCATACCTGCCCATACTCTTCAAGATCTCCCTTGCCTTCTTCAAGGGTTACGTAGTCTCCAGCAGGTGTCCTGTGCAAAGACAGTCGGCCTTTCTTTGATCTTTTGTTTGGATCGGCTACGGGATCCTTGAAGACATTTACCTAAAAATCAGAAGAATGTCTTATAAAAGGAATGAGCTTGGTGGGGCTGCTGTACTTTATGCAGATGGTGGTAATGTAACAGGAAACGTAAAACAGCTTTTCAAGCAGGGAGCCTTCTGTTGAAAACATGGTGGTAGAAGCAGTAGAGGACGTACCCCAAGACCGTTGGTCACCACATAACTGCATTTGAAGGAACAGTTCAAGAGATCTCGAGTTAGTTTCTGCAGCAAAGCTCCACCAGATCCAAAGGCAATATTCTCAATACTCCATTTATTCTTCTTCATTCCCTCCACGATCTAATAAAGAAAAGAAAACGATGATAGAATCTTTTTTAAAAACCCATATCATTTTTCAAAAAAAAAATACACTACTTAAAAAAGATGTTTTTACAGACAATTAAACCAACTAACATTCAGTTTCCAGGAGATGTATGTAACAATTTTGACAATATTTGGCATGCTGTTTACTTTTTGAATTGTTATGCCAGCATGTGCTATTTATGATATCACATGGTAGTGCTGTTACCAGGCTGGCATATGCAATAAAGATCACTTTTTCCTTCCCAAACTAGGGTAGCTAAATAACTAAGTGCCCAGACAAGGAAGCACCGAAGAAAGCAGCTGACAGTGGGAGCACTTCTGAGCTTTCTGACTGCTCAGAACTACGGGCAGGCCTCAAAATATAATGTACATCCTGACAGAAAGGAAACATCTGGCCCAGCCCCTGCAGAAGGAGACCTGCCCACTTTGATCAATGACCACAACAGAGAGGTTCTCCTGAAACTAGAAATAGCTGCATTCAAAATTTACAGGATGGGAAAAGCAGGCACGTATTTTCTCATTTGATTCCCATAAACAAAATAAGCCAACCAGAAAGTACTCGAAAAGTTTGTTTTGCCACCTTCCCAGGAAGGTGTAGATCACTGTGGACTGCACGCCCATCAACAAGCAGATTATTACCCACTGTATCCATTCCTCTCTACCTGACTCTAGCCACAGCAACACGGGTCATCCTCTAGCCTGGAGTCATGGATGCAGGTTTAATCATACTCATCAATGGTCAAGATTTGTTTCCCTGACCTGTTACTCCTACAAAGGCCTGAAAAGATGGTCAACAGGAGAGTGTTTGAATTTATATCTATAAATATTCTACTAACAAGAGAGGGTGAGTAACGTTACAGTGGATGAAACAGCAAAATCCCACACCATCCAGGAGAAGGAAACTGAGGAGCAGAATGGACTGAGATAATCCAAGAACTGTGCAGAGTTTCAGAAATCAACAGCATCAAAAATCTGACCAATCTTTGGTGCACTCGCTGCCTCTCTGTATAAAGGGGAATGCCAGGGAACACTGAGCAGCACTGTTTTAGCAGCTACTGAGGTCAAGTCATTTCCTTAAGGGTTGGCCAAGGCAAAGATACCTAAGAAAAACAGAGGCAATTCACCCTCAAACACGGAGAGTGGCGAGCTAGTAGATAATGTAAACAAAAATGCCTACTGGTATTTTGTTTATTTAGTCACACGTAGATCTCTCGAAAGATACTGTCAAAGTCTGGATGCCTGGCAGAGTCCAGCCCACAGAAGAGGTGGCCTGCAGAGCCACAGCCCATCAACATCTTCCCACAAGGTTTCAAGCAGAGCCATCTCCCAGAGAGAGATCTCACCAATGAGTCTCCCTCACAGTGCCAGCTCACTGAGCCTCACCAACAAGGCAAGCAGAAGACCTCTCGACCTGCTTTCCCTCTGCCATGGTTTCCACTTAAGAGAACTCTTAGAAGGCTCTGCATCTTGAACAAATAAATACATGAAAATGCTGTGAATTTTGGCAGCAGCCATCATATCCTCCAAGACAGCGACCCTGCACAGAAGGAATCTCTATTTTTAGGTCAGTAGGTTCCCTGAAACTAGCTTTAAAGGGGCACACAGAGATGATAAAGGATTTAGGGCAAAGAGGTGAATGAGATTCTTCCTTAAGCAAGCTGAAATAACTGAAGGTGATAAATGAAAGGTAAGAAAAGGGATTTTTATCCCCTCTCCTTAAGTTTAAGGTCCAAAAGAACAGTAAGAAACCAGCCTCAATTGGGCCTACATAAGGACTATGCTTATCTACTCTATCTTTAGAGAAACCAAAAAGAGGTAAACTCTGCCTAAATTCTGAGCGAGTTCTGTCCAGACTGATCAACCCTGACGCCACACAAACTGCTAGCCAGGCCTGAGCCTGCATGTCCTGCCTCTGCACTGATCAGGTCTTATAGACCAGGTCTGATGTTGCTCTCCTCTCCAAGCTGCACTAATGCTCACAAGCAGAACTTGCCTGAGTGCATTCGTGAGACGCAGCACAAACAAAAATGGCAAAAACAACATCTTGCTAAGGCTTAGACTTCATGTCCACTAACACTTGTAGGTTAACAGATGCTAGTGCAGAGCAGCTGGGCTGCTCAGCCCCCTTGTCTGCATGCGAAGCGATGTCGACTCCGTTCAGCCAGGCTTCCTGCTCTGCCTTACACATAGCCGGCCCATCTCTTGCCATATGCACAACAACAGACTTCACCTGGGTGAGGAATTAAGCTTCCACTGTCCACTCCTTCCCATGGGAACTTCTGTAGTCAGACCGATCTTTGGATGATAAGGGGTGGGAGTGGGGAAGCAATATTGAGGCTAGAGCTGAAACACGCTCTGAAGATACCAACAGAGGTCCAATTACACATTCTGCAAGTATGGAGAAGAGGTGGCAAACAGCAATAGGAAGGAAGGAAAGAGAAAGATCCCAAACATGACTGAAGTTCTCTTAAAGGAAAACCATGCAGCAGAATTGATAGTATCACCCTTCCAAATTTATACAAAGGGTATAAGGTTTTGACCAGGTTTTGACCACCTTCCTCTCTGACCATTCTGGGTATGATTTTCAGTTGTGACTCCAGATTAGAGGATTTTCTCTGGATAATAATTTAAAAACAGCTGGAAATTGAATGTTCAAAGAATATCCTTTGAAGTGTAGCATATTGTGGAGTTAGCAGATTGGAATGATTTTAAAAAGTGAAAATGCCAGAAGAAAGTCAGAAAAGGTTCCTTACCTGTTCTACCAGCATCCCCTATTAAAACAAAGAATTTTAAAATCCAGTTTATACTCCGACTTGTTTTCTATATTTTTGTTTCAGCTAGTTTGGATAGTTAAACGAGACTGCTCAGTCAATACTCATTCCGCTTATCTACCACAGCCATTACCACAGATCTGATCTAAAACAACAGATCACGTCTAAAGTCCAAGACTGATATGGAAATTAAAACAACCACTTGCATAGGCTTTAACAGTGTGGGGAGGGTAAAAAAGGCCATGATTTTTGTTCATGTCAACTCCTTTTTGAAAAGGAAGAGTTTTACTTCAGGATTTTTTTAAAACACCATCCTGTTGTACAGTCTTCTAAAAGACTGCATGATAACTTCGACTACGCTGACCTAAGAGTAAGAGCAGCTCCATAAAATGTTAAGTGAAAGTAAAATCAGGCTGCAAGCTCATGGTCATCTGCTCAAACATAACTTGCCACTGCCAAATGAGCAGTGTCTCTTTCTTCCCTTCCTGCTTCCCCCAACTCCAACCAAGTGTGTTTTCTCTCCTGTACAGGGCTGATGATTACCGGACCCTTTCCTGGGCCAAATCAGTCACTTGAACAATAAAAAAATTGACCAGTTGAATTAGCTTCCTGCAACGTTTGTGGTCGTTTGTGGTTAAATTAGGGTGTTTAATGACCAAAACTGACATGAAATGTGCAGCAAGATTGGAGTTAGGAGAAGACGATAGGAAGGTCACTCCATGAGTCTTGGGGAACAAGATGCTCAGCAATTTTTTGTTACATATTACATATTTTTCTCCTTTCATAACCAGTAATTATGTAAACAGGTAGATCATCTGAGCAAAGAACTACTCCTTCCATTCACATTCTGTCCTTTCAGCTGATGGAATTATTTCCCTACTCAACTGAGAACACACAGAGTCGTGACTTTTCTGCAATGTAAAAGCTTTAAATATGAGCTTAAATATTATTATTACAATCAATGCTGTGTGAGCTTACCTACTTAAATTTTGCCAAGTATAACTTAGAGAAGGCAATCTTCAAATTCTGTACAAGAACGTATTAGCAGTCCGATTTGTTTGCTGTCACAGACTCATGAAAATCTCAACAAGGACACGTTTTGCCTAATACAGGTATCAATTCATAACTAAATTCTGTTTAACAGTCTTTGAGAATAAATAGTTTATAAAAATCAAGCAAGTTTTCTTCCCTTGGTATCCAGTGATAAGACTTTCCTTCCAGCTACTAACCTTTTGTGCCTGTGCTCCGTCAAACACATTAGCACGTTTGTATAGTCTCAAAAAAAGTCACAGGAAAATCAAATTTGCTTTCAGAACCACTGGAGCAGGAGCAAGGGTGTAGTGCATGACTACATTACGGTTGGTGTATCGGGGGCAATCTCAATATTAACTGCTCATTTAAGATTTGAGTAACGAGCATCTCCAGAATACTGGGGTTTAGGTTCACATTATGTGCTCATGTTAAGTATGCAGATAGGTTTCTAGGTGCATTTTAGGTTCTTTTTAACAAAGCTGAATTTTTCCACTTCTCAAATTCAAGAGTAAGAGATACACCAAGCTCATTTTCTAGCTGTTATGAAACTAAGACAAGTATCCATAAAACACAGGAAAATTATTCTTAAATCTATCCAACTTATTTCTGTTCTTTGAACAGGTAATACTGTTCTACTATAGCTAATGATGAAAATATTCAGGAAAAAAAATTATGAAGTTAAGTCTTCCTTTGCATACCCTCATTGTATCTAGTCACTGCAGCCTGTGCCATTTGGATTGGATTATATTAGCTAGGAGCTTCCTCTAGCCAATTGTGGCAAATTTATCATTAGCTTCCAGCATGCAGTAGCTGCTAAATAATTATTTTTTGTCTTGCTAAAATCGTGCTTTTAGCGTGATTAGTAAAAGTTATATGTATTCACCAGATTCAAGTGCCAGTGTCCCAAGATAGTCCAATTTGACTCGAACGGTGGATTAGTCTGTTATTCACACTGTCTGGGTTTTCAACAATGCCTATTCCATTAGTTGCCAAATCAATGGGTTCCTTAGTCTTGTTTTGAAAAATCTTCAAAAACCACACCCTCGAAATTCGATTGCAAGCACACTTCAGATGCCACTACTGAACCAAATGAATTAATTACTACTATTGCTACAGCACAGCAATCATGCAATTTACTTTAGATATCAGTGAAAAGACCAGGCATTGCTAGATCTTGATCTGAATTAGGCTTGACAAGAAGGATGAAAGTAAACAAAAGGAGAGACAGTGGGAGGGTAAGCATTACAAAAGTGAGATTAGGAAATGCCTTTTAGTGATTGATGCATCTTAATAATGCTCTTTGGAATTCTGATGAATTAGGACACCACTGCCTGGGTCTGGAATGAAGGGCAGGGTGGGATGGGTAGCGAAGCTGCAGCAACCGACTAGCCGTGATAGATTCCAGATTAAATTGCAACATTGCCAGCTTCACTGCGACACATGAACATGATCCCCTACCTCTTGCAACGTGTTGATATCCACACCATCCCCTTGAATAACTCGGAGATATGGTGGCAGCAACTTATAGCCTTTTGAGTTCTCTGTAATGGGAAACTTCTTCCCTAAGATCTCCAAGACCTATTGAGAACAGAAAGGAGACGTTGAAAAACCAAAACCAAACAAAACCCCATTCTTCCCCACTCCAAATCCACAATCCCTCAAAGAAACACAATTTCCACACTTGAGTCATGCGCCTAAAAGAGCAAACCCATAAATATACCCACATACCCTGCTCTAAATATATTCACATAAACACACAAACAAGAAGTAAGCCAGTCATTGTGCTGGAAGCCGTTAGATAAAGCAGGCACAGTCCATCTGGCACTTACAAACTTGTCCACAAGAGCTAATCAGAAACATGCCTCCCTCCTCTCTCTCTTTAGTTGCTAAAATCTATTAACATGTCAGATAACATCCTGCTCTTTCTTTGACCTCCTTTGAGATGGCACATGGGGCTTTCATTTTTGTGGGGCTTCTGTTAACCAGCAATAATTAAAAAAAAAAAATCTTCAACCTCGATATTTTTTAATCGGCTCTGATAAAAAGATTATTCAAAGCTTCTATTTGCTATATGTCACTTGTCTCAAAGGAAAAAAAAGAAAGTTACAAATGATAAGTTAAAGTTGTATAAATCTGATTGTGTAAGCTATCTCCTCTACTTTCTTATTAAAACAGTGTTGAGTGTTATTCTAATTCAGAGTTATCATCACTTTTCACAATAAAAAAAAACAACTCAAAAGCTACAAGGCAAGAAATGTTTCCCAACAAAGTCACATGCCACTGACCTAAATGCAAGTCTTAAAAACGGAGAAGAGCTCAATTTGTATTTGCAATATAAAACAGTAACATACATTATTACAAGACTCTAGATACCCAACTTCAGCAGTAAGAAGCTTTATTTGCCTGGTATTTATCAATACCTGAGCTGTTTCCTGTTTTATTTGTTATATGATGAGAGACATAGTATATAGATTCCACAGAATCATCCACCCTCATTAGAGGGCAGAACTGATCACTATTGCAGCAGTTTCAAGTACAGCATGCAAGAACTAGTTTGTTGAAAAAAAGTGATCGTCTATTTAGACTGAAAAAGGGAGTTTCCATACCTATATTTAATGTCATAAACGTTTAGATTTTACAGAAGTCTAAAACATTCAACACAAACTATATGTTATGCACATGTTTCAGTGTTAGTCAATCATTACAAAGTGAAAACAACTGCCATTCCAAATCTTGCATACAAATGACTGTAAGAAAATATTACCTTTAAAACAGTGTCGAGAGGATTCCCAGAATCTGGCCTAATAATAAGGGGTGCCTCTGGACTTCGGGCTTCAATTATCTGCCTTAAGTCATCGCCCCATATTTTTTCACAAGCATTGTAAATGTCGTAGCTGTCACTAACCACAGATACAGGCACTGAAGAGAACTGTGTCACTATGTGTTCAAAAGCATCTTTTTCATGATCTTTACCCCAAGCTGTTATGGTACTGTAAAGTCAAATGAAAAATCCATATTAGAGCAGGATTCAAATGGTTAATCACACATTCAGTATTTCTTATTAGCAATAGGTCAAGGCAATGAAAGGCAACATGATTACAGACATCCACTCCAAATTACAGACATATATATTTTTATATATGTGGATTTAAATCCTCTGTGCTGGTGCTGTCCACTCATACAAGGGCCCTTCTGAGAAGAATGCAGAGTGTTCCCCTTAGTACATGGGTACAAGCACACACATACAACAGAGTTGATAAAGAAGCAGTAAGTCACTGCATGCCAGCTGATCAGCGGTGACATCTGCATGTGGCTACCACAAAGCAGCTCATATAACTTACACTAATAACTCATGTGTGAACCTCTAAAAAACTTGCTTGCACAAAGTAAAGATGTGCAGTAAGAGCTAGTGTGCATTAGATTTATACCATAACATGCTACCATTAGCTTCACTGTTTGGACAAGCTGTAGCTTTCCGTAGTGAAGAGAGAAGAAAGTTCTCAAAGAGGCCTGGCCAGTCGTATGACAACTCTGGTGGTGTGGAAGGGGCAAGCAGGGACACCAACATCATCTCAAGGACCTGGAACATTCTGGATCACTTGCATGAGATTCATTTGTGCTTTGAAAGAAATAAAAAAGGCACTGAAGTCTCAGTTTGTGAATGTGAACTTTAACTAGGACAATTTAAGCTGTTTGCTCCATTGCCACCACTTCAGTATGCTGTACACAAGAAAAGGCTCCATGTATTTTCTTTCTTTCATTGCAGTTAATTTCATAGATGCTTGCTCAGTCATTTGCAGAAATTTCTACTTGTTTTTGATATTTCTACTCATCAACTGGGAACTCAAGAGTTGCTCTACACCAGCGCTCCAGATCGAGACACTAGATTTTGTTCTTGCTAATAAAAAAGCAAACGTCCCTTCCTTTATATTATTTTCATTTCAGTGTATAGACATGTAAGTGAAATTCAAAAGATTTCTGTTCACTCCTAACTTTGTACAGGATTCAGAGAAGAGAAAAAAGGGGAAGGGGGCTTCAGTGCAACTGCCTCTTCTGGAGAGGGAACACGATCTGGCAAAGCCTAGAGTTGCAAACTCTGACTCTTCAATTTATGATGCTATGCTTAAATTTTTTTTTTAAGAGTTCTTTGCAGCTCTTTCCATTATCAATATCAATTGATATCTGATATCTGTAAGATTACAAGTCAACTGTAAATAGAAACCTCTACATTTAATTACGACCTGAAAAGAAGACTCATTATAGCCAAAAAACAACTATGCCACTACTGTGCCCCTAGACGGCATAAGGGCAGCCAGCAAATTGAACTTCTGCCTAAACAGCTGGATCACTCATCACTAATACTGACTGTGTGATATAAATGAAATAGCTTATGCCTACCTCTTTCTTTGGACTGAAAGAGATATTTCTGGATACAAAGATGGATAAACAAATTGTATTTGGTCAAACTATCAGAAGTTTTTTAGCTGAAAAATCCTACCTGTGTTCAGCAGCTGGAACAGAATATCCTGGAACTGGATCTTTTGTTCCATAGTACTTTTTAATTAACGCGATTCCTGCTACAGTGTCTGTTCCTTTGAAGTTCACCAAGTGAGCTGAGGCTCCTATTCCTGCAGTCTGAAACAGATCAGATTTTCAGTTGCTACACCAAATATAGAGGCTAAAAATCAACTGCTGCCTAATGCCAGTTCTAAACAGCAAGATTCTAACTCAGTTACCATTTCATTCGTATACTCTTCATTCACCTCTAGATGAAAGACTTTCCATAAGGATAAAAGCTGTCCCTATCTAGTACTCAGATACACTTCAGGTGCACGCACCCCTCTCCAACATTCTCTCTCCTCTCCCTCACATGGGAATTACAGATACAGCGCCCTGTAAACCCATAATTTCACATTTAGATACATTTCTGCATTTAGATACAATGGTTAACAGTTGCATGCTGTAATGCTCTAAAGTATACCTAAGAAGGATTAGGCTTCTCAAGCTGTTAGACAATTAGTTTTACCTCTTGTGAAGAAACTCCTCTGTAGCCGAAGTCATGCAGTTTGTATTCCAGTCCTTCTAAACTGCCAGAAGTCTCCAGCAAATATTTGGCCAAAATCTTTTTCTGCTCTCTAGAATTTGTAGCAACTGTGATTGGATACCATGACTGAACAAGAATAGTCTAAAACAAAAAACAAGACATTATTAGGTACATATTTGCTCAGGACTCCAAAATCCCCACATGGCATTTAATCAGGCACAAAAAGGTCTATTTATTTTCAGCACTTGCTGAGCAAGTACTAAGGCCTGCAATAGTTTGCTTTAGGGTTTAAGTAACTGGGCTTTAGATACAGGGTGGTGACCATCTCAGGAGTCATCACTTTCACGGACACACAACACTTCCCTCTTTTCCTCCTCCTTCTCTTCTTGTGGATTTAAGCACTGTTGTCATTTTTTCCCTAAAACTACTACAAACACTTGTTGGATTGGAAAAAAAATCTTTCAAGAATCAATGATTATTTAAAGCAGAAACTGAAAGCTGCCAGATATTCCCCTTAAGTTAAAGCATGAATACATTATTGGTTTAAGTGCATTAATAAATTTATTTAGAAAAAACACATCGTAACTTTCCAAAACTAACCTCAATCCAATTTGTGAGCCAGTAGCACTCTGGATCTGTGTTTTCTACTGTGAAAAGAACGTTTCCTCTAGGAATGACAGAGCCCTCAGGAACAGCCTTTATTTCTATAGGAAGATGACCATCATATTTCTGTGAGAGAAAGAGATAGCAGGAAAGATCGGAATCAGTTTTTGATTTATTTGACTGCAGCATATATAAGTCAGGCTGTAATTTTCAGGAGAATGTAGCTTTCCTTTTCTTTCTTTCTTTCAGTCCCCAAATTAATTTGGCTTACTTATATAGCCACCCAAGTATTTATCATAAAACTCTGTCAAAAACAGAACCAAACCCTGTAATCTGAAAAAAGTCTCCTTTTCAAACTGAATGACGGTTTCGCTTTTATTCCTTGTGCAAATTGATTCAGGAAGGCTTAACTATTCTATAAAAACAGATATGCTCCATAAACAAGAGGAGGAAATGGTTGCTGCTCAGTTTCCTTAGGCCCTTCTCATGAGATAAGCTAGAAAATTTCAGCTGTTAGGTCTCAAAAAAAGCAAAACAAAAAATGATTCCTTTCAAATATCCCACTTTTGCTTAGACTAGATGTATATTTCATTATTTTATTGGAGTGGGATCCACTTAACAAATAGTCTATTTTATAGACTATTTTATCTCAGCTATTCATTAAACACAGTCTTGAACTTCATTCTCTTGTCAAATATAGCCTTTCAGGAATGAAAGGCTAAAGAATAAGTTGCAAACAATAAATCAATAATCATAACCTTCTAAGCAATCTTTAAGAGCCCTGGCAAAAATACCTAAAACATTTTGTTTTCCAATACTTTTTGACAGATTTTTAAGTAGCATGATGTTCTCCAGTGCCCATCACAAGTCTCTCCAAAACTACATTTTAAAAGCTTCTTAGTGATATGCTGAAGCAAGATTTAGCTGTTAGTTGTGGAGATGACTAGTTTGGATTAAAGATAATTGTGAGGCCTGCAAAATGGAGAGTGGAGTCAGGGAGCAGGCAGTGACGAGTATGTATGTGAATACATACAGAAATCCAGTGTGCCTATGGGAGCATACAAGGACCCAACGAGGACATACATGTCCATTTTGAGAGGCACACTGGCAGTTTGAGAGGCAGTATTTTAGATCAAGATGCAAAATGATACTTGTTTTAATATTTCTGCATTATTTTAGAAAGAAAATCTGATCAGTGACTAAAGAAATCAAGGAATAGACTATGTGTACAGAAGTATTTGGGAACTCTATTCCGACTAAATTCAAAAAGCATGAGTTCAAATGGGATTAAACTACGTACATTAAAACTCAGGGTGGACAGGCATGCAGCATTAAAAGGATGTTAATTTAGTTCAGCCAAAGAGGGATCAAGATTAGTTTAATTACTAATGAAAGCAGTTCCCAATGTATAATGCAGCTTAAATATGAATTTTGTTTGAATTTACATCTGTAGTTACATTTGGTCAGGATATTCAGAGGAGAATATGAGGGAGTAAAAATTGCTTTTTCAAATGCAAAACATATGTATTTGCTAGAACCCACAATGAGACTACAGTGAATTAATCTGTGGGGATCAGAACAGCTCTGATGAATGTTATTAGTCTGAATCTGCTGCTTTTACAGAGGAGAGATGTTCATAATTACTTGCAGAATGACATCTTTTTAAACAACAGGAAAAGAGGAAGGAATAATGTGAAAAGACTTAAATTTGGGAGGCTTTGTGTGTCAGAAGTGCTTGGGCCTTGTATTTCCTAAGGCTGAACCTAAGTACTGCTGGAAAAACATGGAAACCATTGAATAAAATGTGTATTTTCTTAAACTATTTAAACTTGCAAGAAGTTGCAACGCTTTCTGCATTAAAGGAAAAATGGTTATGATTAGTTACAGAAAGCAAGATAAATGACATAACCAACTACTAAGCACTATATAATATAGAGACTTGCCAACAAGACCCTACTTATTCCAACTGGCTGAAGGCAGCAGTAAAACCTTATTACCTGCAAAGCCATATTTGGCATCTGAAAGGATAAAGATTTTTCTCTATGGACTTACAATTACATCATTATTCTTTGACAGCTGCTACTCCCTGTAGGCTGAATATAAAAGCTAAATTTACTCACCTCTTACTATCATGGTTAGACCAGCTTTGTTTAACAGAGAAACTACTATATTTATTCTACAGTTGATTCACAAACCCTTTGGGATTATTTCTTAATATTTTCATTAATTTTTACCTCCAGAATATAGTTCCACCCCTTTTCATTGAAGACATCATCTTGAAAATGTTCCCTATACACTTCTTTGGCTTCCTTGATTTTTTCTTTGGTCACCACTTTACCTGTAGTTTCAGAAATAGAAAAAGCTCAACAACTTACAATATAGATCAATTTACAGAATAAATAACATAAAAAGGTTCAGACCTAAAAAGCTGTTAAGTCAAACAGAATATATTAGCTATGCTTAATCCAATTTTTACTTTAATTTATTGTGCAGATTAGGAAAATCAACAGGGCAATAAATTTGTGGTTTGCAAGTTACTCAGAACATTTTGGAATCATTACCATTTTACAACTGGTCAGTAATCTGTAAAGAATTAGTAGTTTCAGTATTAAGAGCAGAGGAGTGCCATGACTGTATATTCCAGTGTGCACAACAAGCTCTAAGTTGCATGGCACAAGTGTTAGGCTGCTCTGCTCCAGGGAGAATCCCTTCGGAGAGGGCTGGCAACCAAGCTCATTAACCACTCCCGTGATAAGAACTGTCTGACTAACCACATTGTTCAAATAAATATTGCTACTACTTCAGGAGAAACCGTCATTTGAAATAGTGGGGGAAAAAAAAAACTAAGATTGCTAAAGACAAAAGAAGATTTTCATGTGTTTTGATTTTCTTCTAATGTCAACATTGGATAGGAATTGGCAGAGATATCTGTGGGTCTGGATCAAGGTAAACATACATGAATTATGACTAAAATGTTCTTTCTAATGCGTGACACAAGGCAACTCACATTCAGGTCAGAAGAGCTGATATTTACCCATAATGCTAAAAGCAAATAAAACTAAATGGCACCAAGGAATTTTTTAGATGATACTCTTAAAACTGCCAGTACTGAAAATAATATAGCAGCTACGAATAAAAATAAGTGATCTAAATGGAGTGGCAAAAGGAACTTAGGAGAGATTTAATTAAACACTTATTAGCTTATACACTAAATAAATCAGCAAACACGGGCTACAGTTCATGTTCCAAGGTGTGAAATACATTCTCTCTCCAATCTTCAGATATGTGACTCTGTTAACAGCCTCACTCCATTTCCATTATTCCCATTTAGCCCACTGAAGTTCAGATACGGCCACCTCTTCATTTTTATTAACCCATTGACATAACGAAGCACAGTGGAGAGGTGTCTGAATTTAGAGGTCAGGACCATGATAGGAGGGTGGGCATCTCTCAGCTTCAGAATCACATAAACAGTATTTTTGGCACATCAGCACCTACCCTGTAACCAAATACCCTGGGATTTGTTTCAACTACATGACTCCAGTGCAGCTGAGAAAAATGAAAGTATTAATTCATAGGTATAGTGTTACTGGAATTTGAGAGAGTTACCTTTTAAGTATTTATTCAGAATGTACTGCAAACCGTAAAAAACAGTTTCCTCATATTTCACTTTCCTTAATTTGGAGTTTTCAGTCTTCTTTTCACGACATTCAAAGTAGGAATATACTTTGCTTGTATTAGGTGGATATTGCTTGTAGTGTGTAACCTACATTAAGAAAAACTCCAGTAAGAGCTCAAAGCGTCACTATAAAGCACAGAAGAAATCCAAAGTCATTGGGCACATTACAGTTTCTGCAGAGCTCTATCCTTGTATATTAAAGCTTGGAGTAACTCAAACTTTTTGGAGCTATTATCATTCCCCCACTCACATTCTAGAGAGCCAAACACTATTTAGGGTATTTCCCCTCCTTTTATCCCCCTCCAGTTTTCAGTCTGAAAGACTGGCTCTACCATATTATACTTTGCTTCAGTGTCAGGCGTTTCCCTGGAGTAAACGGTTCCCATTCCCAGCTCCTGCGCTCCTGTGACACCTTCACTTGGTTTAGCTCGGAGAGGCCCTGGCCAGGATTTGCGGAAGCGGCCGCGAGCGCAGACAGGCCTGGACAGTCACCTCCCTGCTGCGCCCTGGCCAAACCCAAGAGCAACAGAAGTAAAAATTTGTTTGTCACTACCAAAGGGAGGATCTGCTGCAGTTTTGAAGGCAGCAGTCCTATGGCTTGGGAAAAAAAAGCCGCCAAGGCTCAGTAAGGCATTGAAAATGACATTTACTGCCAGGGCAGGGGGTTTGTCCAACTTCAACTATGTCAAAGCCAGTTCACGAACCTGCTACTGCTGGTAACGTTGTTACAAAATCTATCAGAGATTGTAAGTTCACACAACGATTGGTGGTATATGGCCCTTTTTCTCTTTTTCAAGAAAAGTTCACATTAGGCATAAATCAAGCAAGGAAAGTTGCCATTTGAAAGCTTATGTTACATGAAAATTGGTCGTATAAACATATGATGTTATGGGCCGATTCAACCATAACAGCTTGTAACTAGCAACTGCTAACTAGCAAACCTACCCAAAGACAGATTTAGGATAATACACTGCATGAAACTACTACACTCTAAAAAACACAGTTTGGATTTTGGTATCCCCCAACAGGTAAAAAGCAAATTCCATGCAAAATCCATGCAAAATCCACAGTCCTATCACACAAAGCAAATACACAATGACACAAATTTGATAACTTATAGGATACATAGATCAGGTTAACCTATCCCCAGAAGAAAAACTACCAGAAGGTGTTTGTTCTTTTTTTTTAAATTAGGACCAAAAACAAACAAACAAAAAACTCCTATACATTCTATAAGGAAAAACTGTCCCTAAGGCATCATAACACATCAGAGCAAAACTCAGAAGTGTGAAAGGCATATTAGAATTTTTCTGTAAAGCCTGGTAGACTCACAGGCTCCAGCAGGAGATCATAGTAAGTTACTTGTTGCTGCTTCTTATTCCAAAACTGTAGCTTCTAATGTCATGAGAAACTAGAAAGCAGATAGCTCTAAAAACAGATAGTTTTAAAAACTCTTCCTTATTCTCCTGACTTTTTTTTTAAATGTACCTCTGACACTTTCAAAATAAAATACTTGAAAGTTTCCCTTACCTGTATTACTAAAACTGTGTATCTAAATTTTAAAAAGAGTTTTCTTCTTCTTAAGGGCTGTTTACATTTAACAATTCACTCATACTGGACCATGAACTAGACTGCTCAGTTGCATTTTCTGGTTCTCCTATAGTAGCACAATGCAGCTGTGTTTGTGTTTCCAAAGATGGAAGGAAACATTCAAATAATAATAATAATAAAAAATGCAATTTTAAAATCTTTTCGTTATTTTTACTTGCATGAAATTTTCAAGGCCAATGAAATAAATACCAAGCTTGTCATGGCAAGTTATCTGCCTTTACTCCCAACGAAGCACTGCAAAGAGGACACATTTAATGGAGCACAAAGCTATTCTGTTTCAGTACCATAATCACTCCAAAAGCAGCGTTCTTACTATTAATAATGTTAGACCTAAAGACACCAACTGAGTTTAGCTTCAATTCTAGGTGCAAGGAAAACATCTCCTTTCATAAATTGTAACACATCAGTTCCGCACAGAACTTCCAAATGGGTAAATCGCACTGCCAGGACACAGAGATTTCTTTCCAGGATATTATCAGACTTGAAGGAAAAGAAAGAAAGAAACAAACAAACCACACACCCCTATGAGGCATTTTGAAAAAACAAGCTGTATTTGACATGTCTTCCTAACTAATGGCAGGAAGAACATGCACACAGAGCCCCCTACAAAAACAAACAAACAAACAAACAAACAACATTGAAAACTCCATCCACGTGAGACTGGTTACTCAGCCTTCTGATCAAGCTCACACAAGGCAGCTCACATGGCTGAAGCCAACACCTACCTATAACAGATTACAGCTTACAGTATACAGTGCACACAGGAATTAGTGCCACCTTCCTGATGCATTTCACCGCAGTTTTCCCTAGGGACTCGCCATCCTCGCTGCCTTGAGGCATGAGAACAAAAGAGGGTGCCTGGGCTGTGATCGGCCTGGAACGCTACCAACTGCTCCCAAAGTGCCAGTCGAGCAACCTAAAAACTACCCAAGTCCCACAGACATTGTCACAGATTTACCTTCTTTTTCCGACCTATTAAATTAGATGTCCAGGGGAGAAAAAAAAAAAAAAAAACTTTACGACAGAAGTGTCAACTTATCAATTATACTGGTTCAAATATTTAAAGAAGACAGTTTGCTAATTTTCCAACAGTTATATCTGTAAAATGCAATTTTATTCCTCAACATTTTAATCTATTTAAGCACAGTGAAAAACATGCCACCCCAACAGTTAAGATATTTCACATCTAAGCAAATTTTAGAATTGTAATTCTAAATAACTGGTGCTTCCATTGACATTCACAAAGCTATCAGTTTTGTCTGTAAAATCACAACCCCCTTTGGGGCATAAGATATATCTGCAAGACTTCTCACAAACTCACAAAGTGGGTCTTTTCAAAGACCCACTAAAAAAACCTTACTGTCCAACTTCCACTTATACCAGGCATACCATATAGGTATGTGAGAAATTAAGCATAAACCTACTCTAAGGAGTTCTTAAAGTGTTTTACTTGAACGGAGATTCCCTAGATTCATTTCCAAACTCCACTGCAGGTTTCTACTCTGCTAAATCGCTCCCCTCTACATCTCACGTCCTCAACTGTCAGTCAGAAATTACTTATCTGGTTTATCTGTTCTGCCTTTGAGCACTTGGGCACAGGCACCACACCTAGTAGGCTACATCTATCTAAAAAGCACTACGGCAACTCCAAATGCTAACTAGGATTTCTGGACTACTGGGATGCGGGGAAATACCATGCACCTACCACAGCAATGTTCCGGAGATTTGGGATGCAGTGAGAAAAAAAGAAGTCTGGGGAAAGCTCAAGACCTAGGGGACAGAAACATTTCCCAAAGGAGACACAGGCTGCCATTGAAATGCAACTCTAAGGCATTTAAGACAATGAAAACTATGTTTATAAGGATGCCTGAAATTCTTTTATTGGCAGAGGAAATTTTGCATCTTTCTGTATTCTAAGCAAGAGTACCAAGACAAGTTAGTGACAATGGGCAATATTCAAAATACATTTCATAGATATTATCGACGTTGTAAATCAACGCTTTCAGTTTGGGGTGACAGAAGCAGGACTGGTACAGATGGGCTCTTGATACCATAAACTTAACAGGAAAACCCTCCTCAAAACCCCAGCCCTAACTGGGACTAGGAGATTCTCAAGAGAAAACAAAAACCCAGAGTAGCTCAGTGGCTTTTTCAATACTGAGTTTGAAGACTGTGGTTTAGATTTTTTTCTACGCAAGTCAAGCCATAATGGACAGCCATGGAATGACATCTACAATGAGGTTATGTTATGATTGAAATAGAGCATTATTATTCCAGTTGTTCATTATTCCTTATTAAATTTAATCAAAATATAGCTGAACTTTGAACAAAGAGTGTCTCCAATGGGACTACACTTACTTAATTAAACCAAGTCAGTTAGTTGGCAAAAACTTGCAGCATAAATTCCATTTTGATCAACCATCCAAGAAAATGCCACCAAACATCTAAGAGTTAAATTCTGGGAGGAAAGGAATTAACAGGTACTCATCTACCTGCCCCCCCCCCAAAAAAAAAAAGAGAGAGAGATTGAGATAGAGGTTGCACTTTATAAGCTAGATAAGAACTTCTAGCACAAAAAACTATGCTTATAATCTACAGGCTGCCTTATGCAACAGATTGCAACCATATTAATGAAACGGCTTTAAAAGGTTATTAAAGTCTATACATCTCAAGCCTTTGAAAATATGAAAGGCAGGTCTGACATGAGTAGAGAACTCAGGTGTGGCCAAGTTCCTTTTCATTCCTGATGCTCAGCTAGGTCTGCTAGATGCTTAACACGAACAACTAGAAGGATGCTTCAGGGATCTTCTACAGTGAGAGGGAAAAGGTCAACAGAACAAACAAGAGACCCCAAAATATCTAGCCAGCAGGATTTTGCATGTACTGAAACTCTACAAGTAATAATACCAGCTCAAATCAAATGAAATTTGAACTTTCTGAAGTTATATTAAAAGATTCCTAGTGCAAAACGTGTACAGGAAAAAAAAAGCTAAAACCAAAGCACTGGATAGCCAGAAGCACAAATTATTAGAGGAGGAGGAGGAGGATGAAAATAATCCGAAGGGGCCTCATCCAGGAGACTGGTAACTGCTGGTAGCTCAGCCACTCAGCTGGGGCACTTTGGGCTGTGCAGTGAGTAATTAGGGCTCAACTTACAGACCGGTCACTACAGTGCAAACCTTTCTGGTAGGCTGAAATGGAAATAGCTTATTCCACAGTGTGCAAAAATTGACCTTAGGCTGTTAAGAGTGACAAATAAAGATGAGTGCTAAAGCAATGCTAGAACAGCTTGCTGAAAGAACTAGTACTTGAAGTACATGGGACATCTTCCTGCCATATGCAACCTACTGAGGTATATGACTTAGTGAGCTGTGCTTCTGGCATTAACACGGATATGCTTCTGCAGGGCACGTCTATGTGTAAAAACACGTATCACGGAAGGCAAGGGCATATCTGAAATGCTTGCAGAAAGATGCCACAATTTGAAAGACTGTTCACCTAAACCTGGTAAAGGTTTAACCAATAGAGCGGTTGAAAGGAAAGGTTGTCCTATCCTATAAGGAGAACTACCCTGTCAACACCATAGAAGAAGACTAGGATTTGGGAACAAAGGGAAGGCTTTCTCAGCTGTACCTCACTGTAGCAGTTGTAATGCAAATTGCTGACCCCCTTGGAGGGGGTGGAAATGACCAGCAGTTCTATTCAACAGTGAAGCTGCAGCTACTGCAGTTACCAAAGCAATCACAAAGCCCAAATGGAAATGCAGAACCAAAGCAGAAGTCAGTAGGGTTAAAGGATGCGGTTGTCTGAATGCAAGAGGAAATCTAGAAGAATCAATTTTTCAGAAGTCAATAAAAAGTTATCCAACAATACGAAGTGAAGCCAAAAGTGCAAGTGTAAACAAACAAACAAAACACTAAAAAAACAAGTAAAATCTTACTATCATGGTCATAAACGAGCTTTGAATTACCATAGACAGGTAGCTCTACAGAGACCTCCAGCATGCTTACTGAAACAGCACAAATGAATAAAATGCAGACTGAGAAACTTTTGAAGACTTAATAGTGGAAGCAGGGAGATATTTGCTCTTATGAGACGAAAGGGATACACTGATGCAGATTATGCAAGACAGAAGGCTGATCCCACTGCACTGTTTTTGATATCTATGTTCTACCACCATGCACCATTTCTTATATATAAGATGAAAGATAAGGGCATTGAGGAAGAAAAAAGTTAAGATATCAGGCGGTACTAAGAAAAATGAGGGCAGGATGCAAGCACCTGAATTTCTATGGAAGTTGCACATATCAGCAGAGATGCTGTAAGTGACCACATTCACATTCACTGTAAAAACAAGGTCAAGAGTAAGCACTAGAACTAAAGGCATTCTAAATTGCTAAAAGAACATACAATGTTTTTAAAAAAGGTAACGCTTTTTGACAGATCTCTCTGCCACCAAAAATTCCTGTTTTGCATCCAAGATGATCATAACAAAGATGACAAAATGCCTTATGTTTACTGTTTACACATTTGTGAAGTCAGCTGCACTATTTCATATATTGCTACAAATTTCCTTTTTTTTAACTAATGTGGAAAAACATCAATTTTTCTACAATAAAAGCTGCACTGACTCAAAAAAAAAAGAAAAAGGAGGACTTTCCATTAATTTAACAATTGTTTCAATTCTATGCATTTCTTTACAGCAATGACTTGGAATTTGTAACAGTACAGAGTGAAAAAGGCTTAAATACCTAATAGTTAAGTCAAAATGTGGAAGATACTGGACCTAGATACAGCAAAGGCAATTTCTTGTAGGGAAGGCCAGTCCCAGAAGTTTCCAGTGTTTTCCACTGACAGCACCACAGGAGATCCAAGAACATATTCATATCCTCACCAAAAGATTTTAATTAAAGACTGCATCTGAACAGGAATATTTTATGGTCATTAAGTACTAATCAATCATAACAAATTAAAGAATGCTCATGTCTTTCCTTTGCACACGCATAGCTTTCTAAATAAACACAAGCTATCGGAAACATGAGGATAAACACACACACAAACAGAACGCTTCAGAAGCAACGATTCTTCTAACTTCCATGCAGACTATAAAGATCTATGAAAACGATAAATATTTTAAACTCAAAATGCAAGATATACAGTGTTAAAAAATATCCTTTAAGTCCCACTGAAGCATCTGGAAAGTATCGAATTCAGAAAAAGATCTCATTTATAGTCTATATAGCAAGTCAGCTCCTCCTCCAGGGTAATTGCACAGCAACTTATTACAGCTATCAACTTAATTACAAAACATTCCAAGCAGCAGTGATACATTTTACTGGTAAAAGCAAAATAAGCTATTATTGCTTTAGTGAACAATGTTCAGTCCTCGTTTTGATCGTACCTCCTCACTTGCAGCTCACGCTGCAGCCAGCGTGGGCCAAAAATTTCAGAACATTCAATTCTTCACTGGGTAGAAAATCACTGATTTTGATAAAAAATGGGAAGGAGAATATAGAGCTTCAAGGCACATGCTCAGGAGGTGCAGTAACCTCAGTGAGCTCTGTAAAAGCCTTGACTTACAGCAGTCCCTAACACCTTCCAGTTGAGCAGTACAGTTTTCCTAAGCCGATCCTCCCAGCTGATTCTAGTATAGTTTCAGACTATTGATACCCTGAAGATTTTTGCCTGTGCAGAAAAAAAATAGATCTGAGAACATGGAATACCACAGCAATGGACATCAGAGAGAAGTGTGAGGGATTAATACTAGATGAACAGAGAACCTAAGGATCCAGGATGAGAGAACACAACACTTGCTATTTCAGAGACTCTCTTGAAATGGTATGGTAAGAGGACAGAGGACAGCATTTGGTACCCGTGGAGATCATCCTGTTGGGGAACTGAAGAAGCCTAAGAATAAGATGAAGTACAGAGAAAAAAATGTTGGGAAAATACTTATGTTGTTATATCAATATCATGGAGCAGATAGGAAGATGGTTTGAAAGGAGGGCACGTTGGATTAACTGTCAATGGAACATTATTTAGCCACCAAATTAACAAGTCTTACAGTGCTTTATTTTCAATTCTATACAGACACAGAACCAGAAACCAATTTTCTCCTGTCCCCACATTTCCAGTTATAGCAACACAGAACTGGATCACCAAAGCTAATGCTGTTTGGGCCCAGACTTAGGAGTTACTAGAGACATGACCCTGAGATACTAGATTTTTTCCTTGGGGACAGCTGCTGGAGCAGGGCAGTGCTGCTTAGGACAGCCTGCAAATTCTTTTTCCAAGCTGTTGCACGTGACTTTTGTCAGTGACATTACTTTGTATGGATACCACCTACTACAGTAGAATCACCATGTGCATTTTCAAAAACAGATGCAAGTTTCTCCTCACATTTTGTTTGTTACATATGGTAGTGCACACACAAGATTGTGGATATGGCCAAAATATTTATAAAAAGAAAAAAGAGGCAAGATCAATTCTCTCTCATTTTTTTTAAATACTAGTCAGAGTATTTTGTAATTCCTGTTAAAAAAAAAAAAAGGGGGGGGGCTTGATGTTGCAAACTACCAGGTATTTTAGTGCAACTGTTACTGAAAAGTGCTTTCACTAAGTATGTTTCATTGATTGGAACTGATCTTATCATCCAGGGAGAAGATAAGTGATGTTTGCTTGCCTTACCTAACAAGATATAAGAAGCTACTTGTTTAAGCACCATTCAAAGCACCTAGAGCTTTTGAGATCGGGAACAAGACACTCTACGC